TATGAAGGATGAGGGCGATGGGGTTGCCCGCACTAGTGATATTGAAATCCTGGGGTACATGCCTGCCTCCCCAAACAAGATGCAAATGTTGCGCATGTTGTCAACTCCGTAGAAATCCATCGGCGACTTTGAGATCAACATGCGCATGTGCAACTACTCAATATTTTTGTGGAACATACGTGAATTCACACAGAAAATCATTAAAACTTATGTTTGAATTATGCACTCTAAATAATATTTAAGTTTGAACTATGTTTTCTTTTAGTTTGAACTATTGTTGCATTGTTGTGTTATATCCATTGTTGTGCATATTTGTGTCGTTCAATGACTCATATGTACTCTCTCCGTCCCTAAATATAAGTCTTTTTTACAGATTGCAATAATGGACTACATATGGAGCAAAATAAGTAAATCTACACTCAAAATATGTGTATATATATCCGTATGTAGTCCATAGTGGAATCTCTAAAAAGACGTTTTCTCGTATACGCAAAGCTTGCATATCTTTTCATTGATAGAAGGAGTAGAATGAGTATATCAAGGGATACAACACATGACAGGAACGCAGACAAGCGTGAACATGATGCCCGGAGCAGAGAAAAGGGATGCTCAACCTGAATAGAGGATACAACACAGCTAAACCTTGTTCAGCCTGGCCACTCTTGGTTTTGGATGCCTAAAAAGACTTATAATTTGTGTTTGCATGGAAATGAGCTTTTGAAGATGGGGATATGGTTGCCCGAACGGGTTTGCTGGCTCCTGGTTGCGTTGGGTCACACAAGGCAAGTGTGGTTTGAGACGCTACTGCTCCTTAAATTACTTTTTATTGGAAATGTTTAATATTCGCTTTTTCTTCACCGTTGAATAAACAGAGCAGATTCGGTCTGCATTTCATAGGGGGGCAGGCGGCGAAGGGAGCTGAAAGAAAACCAAGAGCAATCCGGCATGTGTATTTATCGTTGTGTATGTGAGTTGTACTGCAAGTGCATGGGTGCATCCGTGATGCATCTCCCCTTCAAACTACTACAGATTTGGGTTTTGTGCTCAAGTCGTTTGGGGAATCTTCCCTCCAAAGGGTCTTTTCCCTTTGGAAATGCGTGGTTTTAACAATCGGTCTGCAGCTTCACACATGCACACACCGAATCATCGTGTTGACGTAGCAGTGTGTACGTTGACTCTCCTGAGATAGGTGCGATCTGGCTGGCTCCGGTTAAACAACGGGGGCCGTACGCTTTGGGAAAAAAGAATGCCCGTCGCCACGTCCTCCTTCTAGATGTGCTACGGCAGATGTTAAACAGAGAGGAAGAGACTTGCAGTGGCTTGATTGGAGAGGCACGTAGAGATCCAGTTTGGTTGACCTGCACGTGTAAATGCACGACGAGATCAAGGCTTTCTTGTCACTGTGCAAAAATTGTGTGCGCGTGGGAGAGAGAGATCACCCGTTAGGATGCCTAAGTTTTGTTTTAGGTTTGCCCAGGATAACCACGAAAGGCTGTGTGTCAATTTCGTTTCAAGGACGAGACAAATACCAGATAAAACGTTATCCAATGCCTTTGTGAAGTCGACTTTCCCGTATTGTAATAAGTGACGCACATGCAACACGTCACTTGTCGCAACCGGCGAGTTTTCCCTTTTTTCGTAGATTCGTTTATTCAAAAAAAATTATCTCTTAAATCGTGCTCCAAATCTTGAACCGTTTTCACCATTGGATTCCTTGCGTCAAGATCTTCAAAACTAGATCCCATGTTGATAGATTTTAACGAACTTTTTTTTCCACAAAAAACCGAAAAAATTGAACCAGTAGCACGTTTTTTTCTCTTTCCGAATGAGGCACACCCGCGCCTCTCGCGACATCACAACCGTGCCTCTCGTGAAAGCAAATCCGTGACTCTCGTGGAAGAAAAAAAACAGAAAACACGTTTTTTTTCGTTTCCGAGAGGTACGGCCGTGACTCTCGCGAAAGCACAACCGTGCCTCTCGCGAAAGCAAAACCGTGACTCTCGCGAAAGAAAAAAAAAACAAAAAACATGTATTCTTTTCCCTTTTCGAGAGACACGTCCGTGACTCTCGCGAAAGCACAACCGTGTCTCTCGCGGAAGTAAAACCGCGACTCTCGCGAAAGAAAAAAAAACAGAAAATATGTTTTGTTTTTCCTTTTCCAAGAGGCACGATCGTGACTCTCGCGAAAACACAACCGTGCCTCTCACGAAAGCAAAATCGTGACTCTCGCGAAAGAAAAAAAAACAGAAAACGCGTTTTTTTCCGTTTCCGAAAGGCACGGCCGTGACTCTCGCTAAAGCACAACCGTGCCTCTCGCGGAAGAAAAACCGTGACTTTCGCGAAAGAAAAAAAAGAAAATGTGTTTTTTCGCGCAATTTTTTTTAATTATTTTTATCGAAAAGCTAAGGAAAACCGAGGGAAAACCAAAACGTCGAAAACCCCCGGAAACAAAAACGTTTAAAAAGCCGAAAACGCGTGCGGAAAAATAAAAAAATCCGGAGGAAGCGTTCATAGCACGACACATGGCGAATGGCTGAGAGCGCGCCAAGTGGCGCTGATCGTTACGAGGCTCCTGAAGGAGCGCTTGTTAACTAGTTGCTCTCTTGTGAAGTGCCGTGTTTTTTCCCAGAGGAAATCTGAAGGGCCAGGTTAACTCATGTGCGCCTGCTAGGGAACAACGCGCGGTCAATTTTTCTTAAGATGGTAAACTCATGTAAATGCACAGATACTCATCCCTCCATATGATAGCGCACGTACATACCTTATCTCTATTAGCACCTTCGAGATACTAAACCGACACATCATTCTGTTTATTAATTTATTCAATATTTTTGGAATTCTGACTACTGACTTTTCCTAAATTCTTGCATCAATTTTTAGGATCTTTTTAGAATTTTTTGAATTAGTCATTTCAAAAATTCAACTTTCGAAATGTGTACCCCGAGACAGCCGATGCAGGTTGACCTACTCACATGTGGAGCCGTGCAGCAAGCCTGCCCCCGAGCTGCTGCAAGAGATGGCCACCGGGGCTTCAAGGGTCAACGTTGGTGATGCAAGGACCACTGCCAATGCTGCGAGCGGCGACGGTGGAGTTGCAAGTCGGGTGGGCCGACGACGTTGTGAGCCGAGCCTATGCCTCGAGCCAGGGACGAGGACGTTGCAATGCGGACGAGGAAGGAAGGTAGAGCGAAGGACATGGGTGTTGTTTTTTTCCTATTGCGCACTTGGTAGGAGAGGCCGTAAGAGCATGTACACTGGCGCTATCTTAGCAGTGCCACGTAGGATAAATGCTGAGGTGGCGGAGAGATAAATCATAAGAAAAGACTTGTCTTCTCTTATTTAAGGGCATGTACAATGGTTGATAAGATAGTCTTATCTTAAGTCTTGCATGTAATTTAGAGATGAAAAAAATTTGTCTACAATGGGTCATCTCTTAGCCTTAACTTCAATAACTAGTAATCCATAAAAACATGATGAGACATATTGTGCTAAGAGAAGATAAGACTTTTCTTATGAGTTCTCTCTCCTCCAACTCATCATTTATCATATGTGACATACCTAAGATAGAACCATTGTACATGCCCTAAGAGATGATATCTTAGTATAATATGTCTCAACACGTTTTTAGGAATAACTAGTTATTGAGATAAAGCTAAGAGATAACCCATTGTAGATATGCTTTTCTTGTCATCTCTAAATTATATGCAATACTTAAGATAAGATTGTCTTATAAACCATTGTACATGCCCTAGGGAACAACATGAGGAGTGAAGTCCAACGGGAAGACAATTATATGGCTCAGGAGGCTCGGAAGGCCACCGATTTGGATGCCCCATTTGCTTGTTCGACTCAGCCACAAAAGTATAGGTTGATCATATTTTTTTCTTAAAGTACATACATGCCTTGCAAACCTAGAAAAGTAGGTGTGGGCATACTAATTGAGATCCAAAAATTACTCGGAGGAATTTGGTCCCGACACTAGGCTAAACGGAAGAACCGAACATATGTAGAAAATACCTTGAAGTTTCCAACGAAATAAAACATCGACATCCCACCCATTCACGATCGAAAGAAACCCTGCCAGGCCAATCGCACGCATGCCGCACTCCATTCCATTCCCTACCGACTCGAAGTGGCTGGTCGAACCCTAGCCGCTGCGCTGCCGCAGTGTGCCACCACACCACTTCTTGAGCAACGACTAACTACCAGACCCCACCACCCTTCAACTCTCCTCTGCCTTTCGCCCCCTCGAGACCCTCGTCTCCCAGGCTTCCGGTCGATGACTAGTTGTCTAGTGTCACCGGTGGTGGGCCTAACCACGATGGGTGACCCTGTGGGTTGGGGAGATGGCAGGTACAAGGATCACAACCATCGAAGCCTGTCTTCAATTCCTTGTTTGTGTGTGATATTTCTTGTTGATTTATTGTTAATCTACAACCATTCTGGATTTTTTCTTGATGTGCATCAGTCCTGTTTGATTAAAATCCAAAACCTAACAAAAATTTCGGTATAATTTTATTTTTTGGTCATCGGTCCATTATGGTCTAAACGCTCTTATATTTTTTTACGGAAGGAGTAGTTTTTTAAAGAAGCGTTGGGTCCTCATTTTTCCAGAACTGAATTTCTTAGAAACCGAAGATCGAACCATATTCGCGGCAGAATTCGAACTCGCATATTGGGCCTTGTGGGCGAGCCCGTCGAACTCTCGGGGCTACTCCTCGCCGTGGGCCCGGCTTCGTTGCTTGGAGAGAGGGTCGAACCACTCGCCCAAGCCGTCGCCGCCGCCGCCGCCCACGCCCTCCCCCTCCTCCTCCCAGCGCCGCCCTCTCCTCCCTCCCAGCGGCCCGCGAGTGGAAGCTCCCTCCCTCCCCACCGCCCACGGTTGCCGGCGGGCACTTGCTCAGGCCCTCTCCCCCATAGCCTTGACGCACGGCTTCCCCTCGAAACCCTCGACCCCCCTCCGCTGCCGCTCCCGCAAAGGGGACGCCGCCGATCGGTGGATGGGCCGGTTCGGGTGGCTCCGGCTCGCGTCGAGGTCCCTCGCGCGCCGCTCCGGCGAGGTAACGCCGGTTCGCGTTCGTCTGCCGCCTTTCCCATTTCCCTGATTTTGGTCGAGGGGCTCTGCAGAGTTGCTGCTGTTCACTTCATTCCGGTTTCCGATTTCTTCCTGCAGGCGTCTGCGCAGAGGAGCGCATGGATTCGGCCGTCTACACGTAATGTCCTTCTGTCTTGTATGATTTCGTGTTAATTCGGTCTGTGTGTAAACTGCCGCCACTTGTAAGTTCGGATAATAGTACTCCCTACGTCCCAAAATTCTTGTCTTAGATTTGTCTAAATACGGATGTACCAAGTCACGTTTTAGTATTAGATACATCCGTATCTACACAAATCTAAGACAAGAATTTTAGGACGGAGGGAGTACGAGGCAATTCTGATATGCTAAAGATACCAAGCAAATTGCCCCCACTTCCACGAAATAGAACAAGTTGCTCATATATGCAGTGGTTAGAAGCAGATTTAAATAGCACTTCAGTTTACTAGCTATTTTATTTCCAACATTAACTTATATTTTTGCTGATCTTATTTATTTTCTCTGATTCTTACCCATCTCCTTGCGCCATTTGTTTTTTGTGGTGAATAGGCACAGCTTGCAGCTCTAGTGGCACATATGTTGCTGATAGGTGCTTTGGTCGATCCACGTTTACATCATCTGTACCGAGCAGGTTCTTTCATTCTACAGGTTGTCTTTTCTGTTCTTGCATGAATTGAACTTAATATGGCAATATCCTATTATTATCCTCATATTGTGGCCAACACATTCACTATTAATCTTTTGTGGGTGCATCGTTAAGGTCAACGTTATTCGATGGAGAGGGACTATTACAAGATTCTTGGGGTCACTAAAGATGCCTCTCAAGATGACATAAAAAAGGCTTTTCAATCTGTGAGTATCTTATCCCAGTTCAGCTAATCTTGAAACCTGACTATGCTAGCTCACTATTTGTTTAACATGGCCATGTCACTTAGAAAATATCCATATATCAAGCGGTAGTCTCATCCACTTTCTATCATTCAATCATGTGTTATGCTGCTAACTTCAAACAAATGACAGTATTCCTCTGAGTTTGCACCTATTTGTGTGAAGTATTATTATGAATTGTTTTGGAATATATTTTGTTGACAATGCCAACAATCTATGCAGCAACCGTAAACCATTTTTTCTCTTCTACAAATATATAGCAATTGGGACCAACCTGGGATTCAGATAAGATGAACTAGATTTACTTAACAGTAAGCTCGGTAGTTAGGTTTACATTGATGGATTAAATGGAGGAAATTTATCTTTTAATCATTGTTAAGTTTTTTTTTGAACTGGGCTACCCCCCTTCCTATTAAGAAGAACGGAAATACATCAGTTCAAAGACTTACAGGAGGAGGGAAAGGAGAGAAGCGAGTCCAAAGCATTACTAGAACCCACCGTAGCCGCCCGACATCGGAACGACTACTCTGGGGCGAAAACCTAGCAACACCAAAATAGCAGCTAGTCCTAGTAAAACTCAGGCAACACAGAAATCATTGTTAAGTAGATTGACCCGTATTTGGAAGTAAAAATATACTTTAAGAGGCATTCCCACGATATGGCTACTAGGTTGAAATAAGTTTTCTGATTCTAAAGCTCAAAACAATTTTCCTGTAGCTTGCAAAGAAGTACCATCCAGACACAAATAGAGGAAATACTGCTGCGAAAAGGATGTTTCAGGAAGTAAGAGACGCATACGAGGCAAGTAAGTTACCACCATGTCTTTAGCTTTGCTGTTGATTATTATGCCTAAATTAACAGTGCCATATGTTTGTTTTGTTGGCCTCTAGACTCTTCGGGATCCTTCAAAGAGACAGCAGTATGATATGGTAATAAGTTGCAACCTGCTGTTAGCACTTTATCCTCTCTATTTCATGATTTTTTAGTGGTAGTTTTATATTTTATTTATGGAGCAGCAACATTCCAATTTCTGTTATCTACTATTGAAAGTAAATGGCCCAGTTCATTACTTCTCAAGCTCTTTGAATTTACAATTTGAAGTCTGTGAGTTCCTGTACACATTAAGTTTATGTTATGCTGTAATACTGCAGCTATTTTCTGGAGGGTCAGCTGCAAATTCCACAAGGGGTAGGGGGGAGTTCGATGGATCCTATGAAGATCCATTTTCAAGATTCAACAAACAGAACGACGACCCTTTTGCAGAATTCTACAGACAAAATGATGGTCCTTTTTCTAATCAGTTTTACAAAGTATTCTCAGAGGTAATTCATACCTTTCCCTTTTAATTTTACTTCAACGTTTCACATGGGAGTACCATTAATTCTCTTTGTTTTCAGGTTTTCCAGCATGATGTGGATGTACATGCCAGTGACATTGAGGTTCATTCTTCAGATTCTTCTTCTTGCATGTCTAAGTAACAACACCTTTAGTCATGAACTAATCTTATCTCTTGACTTAAGTAGATAGAGCTGAATCTGTCTTTTGGCGAAGCTGCTAAAGGATGTACGAAGGAAGTTCCCTTCAGTGCAAAGAATCTCTGTTACTCATGTGGTTAGTACATATTTAGAGATATTGCTATTCTTATTTATATTACACCTATCGCTTGTAGTAATTTTGTAGACATCTAGACATTTATGCGGAAATAAATTTGCCAGCAGAGTTAAATTCGAAGTTTCTTCTATTATATTTTGACATTTTCCTGAACTTATTGTTTCTCTCTGGCTTTTCTATCTGGGTAGTCTGTTGTAGGCACATAGTATTGAGCTACTGTAATTCACTTGGTTTTTTCTCTAGCTTAATCAATGAAGGTCAGATTCCATTAGGTTGTCCTGGTTTGCATTCAGTTCGATGTCACATGATATAAACTACTCCTCCGTCCCATAATATAAGAACCTTCTTTATACTACACTAGTGTCAAAAACGCTCTTATATTATGGGACGGAGGGAGTAGATAATATCATCATCCATTGGTATCATGGTTTCATCTCCCCCATTACTCTTTCCAAAGCATGTCTAGATGTCAGTTGTATCTAAATGAATAGCTGATAGGTTAAATGAACTGCAAGATAGGTAGGTCTGTGTTTGTGTTTTCTGTTCTCCCGTTTGAATACTATTACGGAGGTATGCAAATTAATACTTCAATTTTCAGCAGTAGTCAATTTCAAACCATTTCCTAGTGTGGAAAATAACATATGTGGTTACTGTGGCTGTGATGTAATCCGCATGCCAGTGGATCTTTTTATTGGACATAAATTGGACTTATAACACTAATGTTGGTGATAACTTACTTGATTATGTAACATTACAATCACATAATATTAAAATGGCAATAAATGCTTGACTTAAAGCTCCAATCTTACTCTTATGTAGTAGTTACTGTCCTAATTTATCCCATGCTTATCTTGCTTTTTTTGTGAGAAAAACTCCTCATATATGTTCAAATGTAGATGGGAGAGGATACTTGGCCAATGCAAGAAAATATGTTTGCCCTTCTTGTAAAGGTGCAGGAAAAGTAAGTATTTGTTTTTATGCCTTTTTTTTTTTTTTTTGCAAATACTCCCTCCGTTCCTAAATATTTGTCTTTCTAGAGATTTCAACAAGTGACTACATACGTAGCAAAATGAGTGAATCTACACTCTAAAATATGTCTATATACATCCGTATGTGGTAGTCCATTTGAAATCTCTAAAAAGACAAATATTTAGGAACGGAGGGAGTATCAATGAAGGGTATTGTTTGTAAGCTCTGCACTGTTGTTTTGTGCAGGTTAGTATGTATCCGTTCACATCCATTTGTACTACTTGCAGAGGCTTCGGGAAAGTGATTAAGGTATTGAGTAACATGTAAAGTTTGTCAGATTTTTTAAATCTATCTCATGCATGACGATTTTCACAGGATCACTGCCTAACATGCAAAGGTGCAGGGGTGGTAGATGGTATGAAATATGCAAACGTGATCATTCCAGCAGGTGCTGTGCAGCCAAGCTTCAATAGTTCAATTGTCTTCTGCCAACCAGCTTCTTTCACAGAAATGCCTTCATATGATTATATCTTTGGATTATTTCTGAGTTGCTTGCTCTAGAGCCTGTCTTACGTTCTAATACAATTGCCAAAATGTTATAATTTTAGACCATCCTGGAGTTATGTCCTTTGGAGGCGGATCTATCACATGCTATATTCTTGATATTTCTACCATGTTTAATGCACAGAAGTTAGGGATAAAACAATTACATGCCAAAAATCCTGCTGCATCACTATAGTACGCTCATATATGTTGTTCGCGCATTAGTTCTTCCTGAAACTTGACTTGCATAGTTGGTTCGTACATTTCTTTGCGCATATAAGCTTATTCATGAGTCATGTGAAACGTCAAACATGTTAACTTTTGTAGGCTGGTAGCTGTCCTAGTTCCTAGGTTTTATTTTTCGTCAGTAAGAAGGATACTGCTTCATAGTTGTTTGCAGCCACTGCATGTTTCTTTCACTTAATTTTTTGTTAGACCGTGAATGTTGTTTTTCTCTTGACTTTACCAAAGATTTGTTTTTGTAGGAGTTGATTCTGGTGATACAATTCATGTACGGGAGGCTGGAAATAGCGGTGGACGTGGAGCCATACCTGGAAGTCTATACATTAAGCTTCGAGTGAGAATACTGTCATACTTTTAATTCTTTATTTCGTATATCCACTTATTTGGTCTGTAATACTGAGGTTCAGTGGTTCACAACTTCACGTGTTTCTGCATTTTTGTTAATTGTTCAGATATACTTAATTACTTACTACTAAAAGTGCCAATCTGGAATGAAAAAAAATAAGGGTTCTAGAAGCAAATCCGATTTCGTATGAAATTGTTTCGTGACATTTGACATTCTGACCTATTTGGAACCATATTGGTTTTTAGTTAATTGAATTTGTGAACTGTAGTTATGCTACCTTTGTTTATTTAAAGATATTAAGACATAATATTTTCCCATTGAACTGTAACATCAGAAAGTATGTGCTGGCTGAGATGAACAGTTGGTGTACCTGTGTAGGGAGTGTTGAATTTCAGCATTCAATCGAACCACTTTTGCAGGGTTTCTCCTGGGGAACCATAAATAGTACCGGCTGATATCTCACTAGTTAGCTGTCTTCGATGCTAATATTGCTAGGTGTGCCTGGTGCTGCAATGTGCAGCACTAGGGCTTTTACTTAATATCGGTCACATACCCCATCTTAGGCTTGCATTATATATTTTGCTGTAAAATGATATATTTTTTTGGGTCATATTGGGCGTGTTGGCTGTTGTATCATCTTGATATATTGATTGAATGAAAATGTCCTTTATCAAAGAAAAGGTACCTACATAAGCTCCAGCTGCTTATAGTTTATCCAATCATATGAATGTTGAGGCATTTGTGACCAGTATAATGAATTTCCGTTGCATTGTTTGATTCCTCATCTTTATGCATGTTTGATGCTACTGAACTTGGCATGCCTCTCTATAAGGTATGGTTTCGTTCTCACAAGTCACGACTAACAAGTACTCCCTCTGTGTAAACTAATATAAGACCGTTTTGTGAGGGTGTAGTTGGTTTGGTGTATGTACCAATGAATTAGAACTATCTGTACAACAGTTGTGCTGCCTGGGGGGCTATTAGCCTCCGCTGTCATAACCTTGTAGAATGATTCTGCTCTACCAGCTCTTTTATATCAAGCAATCCAGCTTTTAATTCTTCCATGAACCATGTATATCGTAGGTAGCAAGTGATCCAGTATTTGTTCGAGATGGTGCTGATGTACATGTGGACAAAAAGATAAGCTTCACACAGGTAGTAGCAAATATCTTTCAGGAACTTCTTTTGTACTGCTGTCGTACTATTTTGCTCCTTTGTAGAGCAAGCTTTTGAAGAATTATCCTATTTCTCAGGAACTGCTTTCCTACTTCTGTGTCTTGTGACTTTATTTCCATCTGTAGCTTACAGCTTATGCCAAGATTAGTTCATATAATTTATTCTAACGTCTAATTCAGGACAAATTTAGTCTGTTCATCAAAATAATTCATGATATTCGTTTTGGACCTTTGAGAAATGCTGCACAGATGAACCTAGAGAGATGGAGGAATAAGAAATGATAGTTTGTTAGGTTTTGGAATTGGGAGACATCACTATCATTAGTTCATGACTATTACTAGTAGCTGTCAAAGTTTTAATGTGGTAGTCTTGTATTAATGTGCATTTGTTGGTGTATGTGGACATTTGAGTTTCTGTTGTTAATTGGTGCTTTGGTGTTGGGTTTTTGCTGATCATTTACCTTTCCTGTGTAGGCAATGCTTGGTGGAAAAATCGAAGTGCCCACTTTAGATGGTAAAACAGAAATTAAGGTAACAATACCTGGTGGGAAAAAGACATACATGTATTCCTACTGAGAAAATGTCAAAAGCACTTCAAACTTCTGTTATCATAATATCTTGTATTTTTCATACTAGCTTAATTAGGCACTTAACCTCCCTGCTGTTATTTTAATGCTTCTAGAGTGGACCGTTTCTAGTTAGAACATCTGGGTCTGGCATGGCTAGATATTTCTTTTGAGAAGCATGTAGCCATCTATTTGTTGAGTGGACATGCTTTTAAGTTCTAGAGAATATCTCTCCCCCCTCTATTTGTTAGTTTAGTTGACATTTGTTGTTATTTATTTTTCAGATACCCAAAGGAGTTCAACCAGGGCAAGTTGTCGTTTTAAGGGGGAAAGGTAGGTTATGCAAATAAACTAATTTAAGTCAGCAGTTTGCTTATGGTCAAGTGCTAATGATAGTAATGTTATCAGGATTGGAATTACCAAACCAGGCAGGATATTTCGGAGACCAACATGTCCGTTTCAAAATACATTTTCCATTGTAAGTTGCTTGTATTTTTCTTGATGCCCTTTTTACAGACATTACCCATTGCACTGTTTTGTACAGTGCTATTCTACTTTGCTCATGTATTTGTCCATGAGGTTAAAATGGTTATGTTCGATTCCCTTTCAACTTGCATTCCACGAGAATGGCTTTGCTAATACATTCGGCTTCCATCATATGAAGCAAAGCATAGGATGCAATAGATATTCTTCTGGACTGGTTGTGGTAACATGAAGTCAAACTTGTAAGAACATTGTGTTATACTAGCGAGTTTAACTTGCTAGTACTTAGTAAGAGCCATGACATTACTGAGCCTAACCTAGTTACAACTCTTTGTACCATTAATGGTATTAGGTTTTGTGACGGGCAGGATATGAACACTCAGAGTGAAAATATCGTAGTGTGACTTGTGTGAGTAGATTGTTCACATTTCCCTAATGCTTTTGGTGATCTGGTCGGCGCATGGAACTAAAGGAAATGAATGTTAAAAGGAACTTGAACTCTGCCTTAGGTGGAAGTAGAAATCCTAGAGGTTCAGTTAATGGCTTTCAGTAAACACTGTTTGAAAGGGATGATTGAGGCCCCATGATAGTATTAATCCAGCGCTCTGCTAATTTGCACTCCCTCCGTTCAGAAATAAGTGACGCTGTTTTAGATTTCCGGACGGAGGAAGTAGCTTTTATCATTCTATAGGCAGACCACTGGTTATTGAGCTACAATAGTGATGAGACACAACATTCGTCAGCACTTAACGCTTCAATTTGGTTTCTGCTTAGCTCTTGCTTTTCTGTTTAGTTTACGCTAAAGCCTAACTTTTAAGTTTGGCGCATTCAAATGGCCTTACCCTTAATCCTTTGCTTTTTCTGTGTAGTATTTTTATGCTATAGTATACGCCATCAGTACACTCCTCTTTTGTTAGATTTATGACAATATCAATTTTTAATCTGCAGGAAGGTTAACGAACGTCAGCGTGCACTGTTGGAAGACTTTGCAGCAGAGGAAGCCACGAAAGAACAGAGTTTTTTTGCAACAGGAAACTGGTAATCTATTGCCTCGCCATTTATTCCGATTGTCTTTGACCATCATGGGAAGTTGATGAGATATAATTGAGAACTGCACGCTTAGTTAATGTTCATGCACTGATTGATGTGCTGACTCTACCTTATCCTGATCGCTGTAGCCTGGTAGGCCTGGTGTGCAAGCAAAGTTTCATCTCTCGCACAACATTCGTCGTTCTGTTTTATAGCTTGCATCATATGGTAGTAATAAAGATGAAATTTCGAACAGGCTTTACGAGCAGCTATCTACTGGTTGAAACTTACAGGTTGGAGCTCATTGCTGAAAATATGAAGAGCCAAAATTTCATGATCGGGCTTGGCTTTGTCATGCTGATTTATCTGATGCTGAGCAAGACTCTGAGTTAAGGCTTCGAAACTATGCGGTGATATCAAGCAGCGGTGACATCAGAAACTGAATGGGGCATTAGTATCTGGTCAAGCTTCTTATTTGGCCAGGAGAATTCACAATTTCGAACAGATAAGTCATACGGAATGATTTATGAGTTATCCTTCTTGGGGAGGTGATCACAAAAGTTGCGTGGAGTTTGTTTTTGACTCTTCAATAAGCTAAATTATTGTTAAGGCGCTCCTTAAAAGTACACTAGTAATCGTGTACATGCAATACACGTAGATGTTAGATAGGATATTAGTTGCAAGCCAATGTTCCATGTAATATTAATTATGCGCTAAACATTTTGACGCTCAGCAGTAGAGTAATTTAGGTCATTAGATTGACATGGTTTGATGACCCTTTGGGCCTTTGACATTTGGAGTTGTCTTTGACGCTTCAATAAATCTCCCTGTCAAATGTGGACTATTTTTTTTTGCCATATGTCTATTGTATCAACGTCAATAACAAAAGATACACAAAACATCCTGCCACAAGCATCATGTAATTTGCTCTTTGTAATGGCGAACCCCCTACAGAAGAAAAGATGTATCATGTTAAACTCACCTGACATGGAGAATATATTGAATCAAACTGCAAAAGGAAATAATAACAGCATTAAGCAGCACGACTGTCTTGGATGCAAGTGGGTCACCCCATCGGTTATCCTCAGGTAGTTACGGCCATGTTTGGAACAAAGGAAAAACTTAGGACTCTTCAAAAAAGGAGAGGAAAAACTTACGGCCATGTTTGGAACAAAGGAAAAAGGGTATGATTCCTATAGAAAAATATTCCCATACATTTTGGAATAAAGGAACTGGTATCCTACATTCCAATGAAACATGCCATACCCTAGAAATTTTGGAGGAAAACAAACTTGAGGTCCTACCTCATGTATTCTTCTCTTTGTGTCTACACTTTCTTTGTTTTCCCCGCATGACACCCAAGTGACAATTTTAAAGTTTTCCCAAGTGAATTTTTAAATAAATTCTATGGTTTTAATTCCTGCGTTTTTTTTTCTTATTCCTATGTTTTGGGTTCTTCCGTTCAAAACTGGGCCAAATAATTTTATTTTTTGGAAGATGCTTCCAATTTAACCGATGGCTTACGCTGATTTAGTATTGTAGGGAGTAGGTAGGATTAACAGGTAAATTACTTGATACTCACGTGGTAAGTGACTGGAGTTGAAGGCAGCTGAAGAACAAACTGCTTACCAATAAGAAGATACCGATTCCTTACGTTCCATTCATAATCCCAGTGCACGCTGTTGCACCTGACTGTCCAATAAGACCAGCCAAAGGAGGCTTCTCCGAAGACCTCCAATTGAGCTTTTCCAAAAGATCGGTATTGAATCTGTGAAGCGTTTGCCACATTCCATTCATTCACCCACTCTCCTGAGTAATGGCATAGAAAAGTATTTATAAAGAGCAGGGTACACTGAGAAACAACTCAGTTAAATGGTAGACCAAAATCCAAATGACCTGTCTGAATTTTTACATTAAGTTGTAATAGTATGCAGGACGTACCGACAAAAACAAGAGGTCCATTTGCACCGTTCAAGGCCCGCACTTGAGGCAGTCTTTTTTCGTAAACAAACCGTATGTTCTCTGTTGCGTTAAGCTTCTCATAATAAGGATCAAACAGATTGTAGTAATGCAAGTCAACAACAGTGTTAGTTGGGCCCAGATCAGCCTGATAAAGCTCCATTGGGTCTGCATTCCCTATCCTCTGGCAGAATATAACATAAGCTGTCTCCGAATAACTTCGTACAATTTTGTAGCCTCTTTTGTAATATGACACTAGAGTGTCTAGTGGGACTGCTCCTGCAGAAGGCTCGTTCAGAAGCTCGATACCTAGAAGCGAGGGATCGTCTGCATACCTGCAGATAAAAGACAATATGGCTTGTTACTTTGTTAGAACTGAGAAAATTGTGATAGATAGAATCTCGTTTTTCATGTGAAAAATAATGTCGGTGAATCCAAAACATGGCTCTTCACTTTCATGTATCTCCTCATTAGTGAACGGATCAGACATAGTTAGTTGTTAACATGTTTTCCGAAGTTGCCTTTTCTCCCTTATTCTAGTGACCAAGAGTACATATTGCTGAAAAATGAGTAATGCCAAGTTGCGCAAATGCCTATGGCTGCCCATTGTCCACCACCTTTTATTTATAAGATCTTTGAAGGATGAGAGAAATTAATCTTTCAAAGATCTATTGAGAATGAGAACTGGAAGTCTATTTTCCAACTTGGTGATGCCTTTGTTAACTTTCGTGGCCTGATGTCACCAATGGCATCATCAAGAAATATTTCGTCCACACAAAGGAAAAATTTCGTAACTAGGAAATAGAGTGAAAGAGTTTCATTTTTTAGGGAGAGTGAAAGAGTTAATGTTACCTTTGAGCTAAAAATTTAATGACATCCAGAGTTTTCTGTATGTTAACCTCTGAAGGCCAATCTACTGAACCATCCCTGCTAGCACTGTGCTCCATTCCGTTTTGAGATCCAGGAGCCGCATGAAGATCGATGATGCACTTCAAGCCATAAACCCTGATCTCAAAATCAGATCCACCATATGGTGCAGTCTCAAACTTTAAAAGATTTTTTTATTGTGGAAGTAACAATCAAGGACAGTTTAGGGGCTAGACCTACTGTGCCCAGTAGAATGCTCTATCAAGGTTCTCAAGGGAGCCACCAATAAATGGAGCGGGTGGATCAGGATCATACGCAATCCACCATCCAACTGGAATCCTGACTGCATTCATACCGTTTTGCGAGAGGATAAAGAAGTCATTTCCAGTAACAAAGCTCTTTCGGTGTTCCTGCAAATTGTGTAAAATAGCAAATGAATGCTTTTATGGGATAAAACTCTGCACCACAGACTGGGAGGAGGTGACACGGCTCTGAAAGTATAAGACTTACAGTCAAGACTGCTTTTGCCTGCGCAGGTCCATACCCATTAGCAAGCTGGTAATCTCCATGCAAGTTGTTGGCAGCTATTGTCATTTGGAATGTTGCCATATCATCACCCCATCCAGGTTGGGACCGATAGTTTGAAGTAAGCTGATTGTTGTTTGTGACCTGAATAATGGAGTATACATCAACTTTCCTGGTTGCAATGCTGAAGCTTTAGATAATTAGAAAGGAGTCTGATGAGAGTGCATAACTGCTGACATCTGAAGATCATATCGACAGCATAATCAATACCTGCAAATAGCTCCCATTTACAAGCTTGATATGAAGCATTGTATTGTTTCGTTCGATATAAAATGTTTCGGAGTCTCCTGGTGAATCTGCAGTTGCTGATATCACATCCTGATTACTCGCTGTTAAGAACTGACCATTAAGGCACTGGAACTGAAATTCACTATCAGAAACTCTCCACAGCTGAAAATAACGCCAAGACAAATGCAGTTAGGAACAAACTAAGATACGATTGTTTTATTTGAGTATATGTTTCTTTTCCCTCAAGTAAGATATATTTATTTCTCACTAAGATGGAAGACAGCTCTAGAGGACAAATGTAAAAATAGTGAACTCGTGCAGTTTACTAGAAGTGCACCTTCTTCCACTGGGAAACACACACACACAAAGTACAATTCAGCCATCTGCATATTACCAAGCAGTATTTTCCCCCCCTGATCTGTGTAAAAACAGTTCAGTTTTCCCCTTAAGCCCTTGGGTACTACATGGGTCCTTAAACTTCGTGACAGTTCTAAATTAACTAGGTCTTCCTGAGCCACGTTGGTGAGTTTTTTTTTTCCCGGGCACGTTGGTGAGTTAAAGACCTGATGATCTTTAGGAACCAGAATATTGTCTTTGAAGGTTGAAGAAAATGCTACTCTGTATTGCATTTTCATCTCAGTTCTTTACAGAAGAACAAAAATGGAGCGCTTGAAAAAACAATGAGGGCCTAAATGTTGATGCGAATGTATCTATTCAACGTTGTTTTCTCCAAGATATCCAACAGACAAGATACGATAGCATTCAGCTTCCCAAACAGTTCACTTTCATTACTCCAAGAAACCACTTTCCTTTGACAGTTTACCTTGAAAGTCTCCCATGTAGAAGCAGCATCCTGGTCCACGTTCACATTTCCACCGCCACCGCCAACTGCACTCACGTACTTCTGGAGGGCAACAGACTTGAGCTGCACCTGCACGCCATCCTGAAGCGAATCCGATAGCCACATCACGAGAAGGCAAAGCAAAATGCACAGCACTATATAACAATCATTTGGGTCCGAGAACAAGAGAGAGGACCTACCAGCATGTCCCCGTTTGGGATGCCATCAAACAAGGAAGGCTTGATCCACCCCTCCACCACCAGCCAGCCTCCCAAGTTCACCGCCCTGACCTTGGTGAAGTCGTCCTTGTCTGCAAAGACAAAGCACAGCTTACCCACCACCGCCAAGACGGCAAGAACAACCGCATCCATTTAAGCAGTCCCCACTGAGCAATTCTGACCTGACGATGAATGTGACAGTTGGAACACGCACAGAAGACCAAAGATCAGGACGCCCGCGCGAGGGAGCGCCATGTCGGCAATACGTCGAACAGATGGCGTGCGCGGGGGCTGGGGCAGGGGAGGAGGAAGTGGGGCTTGTATAGAGCGAAAGGGACGGGAGATTCCAAGCCCACCGGGGGCGGACACCGAGAGGGGTGCGGCATGGCATGGCTGGGGAGGCAGGGAATCTCGCCTTTTGCGCAGTGCTGTTATACCTTCCTTATCGCCAAGTTCATCCTAAGCAATGGTGGAGACGCAAACGAGTGACGAGCACCGCCGCGCCACGCCGGCAGGCAGACGGCTCGCTTTCGCTTGGGCTGCTTTCTGCCGGTAGCTCGCGGCGGCGGTGCGTTGCTGTCAGGTACCTGACGCAGGTCGCCATATACTATTCAGTAAACGGCAACGCATCTTCAGTTAACGCTTCGCGACTATCCGACGGCCGTCGTCGCTCCATCAGCTGTTAGCGTCGCTCG